CTTAATTTTTTTTTTTTTTTTGTCTTTTTGAGACAGAGTCCCACTATGCAGTTCAGGCTGGTCTTAAGGTCACGTTGTAGCCAGGCTGGCCTCAAACTTGCAAAGATCCTCCTGCCTCAGCCTCCTCATTGCTGGGATTACAGGTGTGAGCTACCACTCCTGGCCAAGACAGAAATTTTAAAGCAGAAATAATCTGGAAGATAAAATATGTAAAATTCTTAAAAGACATAGGCACACGGAAGGACTTTCTGAATGGAGCCTCAAGTACAAAAGAAATAACATTAAGAATCAACAAATGGGATTATATCACATTAAAAAGCTTCAGTACAGCAAAGGAAACAGCCAGGAAAGTGAAGAACAACCTACAGAATAAAAAAATATATATTTGCTAGCTACTTCTGACAAAGGATTAACATCTAGGGTATACAAAGAACTTTTAAAAAAATCAGACCTCTCAAATAAATGACCCCAACAAAATATGGGCCACTGAAATGAATGGAAAGATCGCAGAAGTACAAATGGCCAGTAAATACATGAAAAGAATGTTCCTCGTCTCTGGCTATCAGAGAAATGCAAATTAAAACATGGAAGCCAGGCGTTGTGTCTGACCTGGACCAGATTAGTTGTACACTAAGGCGGTGTGAGGTACAGCTGCTGTGCTATTGCACTGATCCACGTGTCTCTTTCTGTGCTGGTGCCAGGTGTTTTCCTCACCCTCGCTCTGTAGTGCAACTGAAAATCTAGGGTTGTGAGGCCTCCTACTTCCTTTTTATTGCCAAGGATTGCTTTTGCTATTATAGATCTCTTCTAGTTCCATATAAATTTGAGGGTAGTTTTTGTTGGTTTTTTGTTTTTTTCTGGTACGGGAAATCGGACTCATAACCTTGCGCTTGCCAGGCAGGTGCTGTGCGGCTGAGCTAAATCCCCAGCCCCCGAGGATAGTTTTTTTTTTTTTCCTACTTCTGTGAGGAATGGTGCTGGTGTTTTGGTTGGATTGAGTTAAGTCTTTATATCAGTTTTGGAAGTATGGATATTTTGACAATACAGGTTCTGCACAGGCCAGAACGGGATAATGTCTCCCCCACTTTTGTCTTTTCTGATGTTCTCTTTGATCTTCTTTTTTAGACTACTGTAGTGTTTGTTACAGAAGTCGAGGTCTTACACTTATTTGGTTAGGTTAGTTCCCAGGTATTTTAAGTTTTTGTGACTGAACCCTTTTATTTTTTAGCATTTTATTTTGAGATAGGCTCTCAGTCACTAATCGGCCAGGGCCGGGCTCTAATGTGACTTTCCTGCCTCAGCCCCCAGAGTGCTGGGATTACAGCCCTGAGCCAACACCCCCAGCTCATCCAAAGCTTTTGTTTTTTTTAAGGTTGCAGTTTAACATTTATTGCACTTACTGTAGGATACTACTAAACCCTCAAAATACAGTTTCTGCCACAAACTTTATTCTCAAGGACTGCAGGTAGTAGCTGCATAAAATAACTTCATGGAAACTAAGAGAGCAGCCGGGTGTGGTGGTGCACACCTGTAATCCCAGCACTTGGGAGGCCGAGGCAGGATCCTCCGAGGAGGAGGAGGATTGTTGCAAGTTTGAGACCAGCCTGGGCTACAAAGTGAGCTCAAGGCCAGCCTGAACTGCATAGCGAGACCCTGTCTCAAAAAGAAAAAGAAAAAGAAATGGTTCTGTTGTCTCCCTAGTGTAAGAACATGAAAGAGTAAATAAGACCCAAAATGTACAGTAGATAATATGAAAGGGAAAGAAATTGCTCAAAGGAAGGAACAACCGGGATGAGGGAAGAAGAAAAAGAACTAAGGCAAAATATGTATGTATGTAGGTATGTATGTATATAGAAGGAGAGCTGGGATAACTTTACTGCTGATGTCTGGTGGTTTGTTGAAAGGAATAATTAATGCTTAAATTTTTTTTTATATTTTGACCAATTTTGCATGCTTATATCTCATAATCTGAGCAACTGATGTGAAGACAACAATATGCAATATAATAACCATTGGTGAATTCCTGCCATCTTGTCTAGTGAAACTCTGTATTGTCTCTGATGTTTTCTTAAATTATTCTTTGCTTATTCTCTTTAATGGTTTGATCAGTCTTCCATTCTTTATCTGGTAATCTGAGCAGCTTTGTTGAAGATAACAATATGTAATATAACAGCCACTGTTAATTCCTATCATTTGGTTTGAAACCCCATATCATTTTTAATGTCCTTGCTTTATTTTGTTTGTATTTTGCTATTTTTTTTTTTACTATTCTCTTTAAAATAAAGAAAAAATTGTTATAAACTTTCAGACATGCTCAAATGTGTGATCCTCCTGCATCAGCCTCTCTCAATGCTGAGATTACAGGCGTGTGCCACCCACCCCTGGCTTGGGTACAAGTTTTGATTCATGTGGGCCTCCAGAGGGGTGAACAGCTGCCTGGGTTGTAGGAGAAGCTGTGGTTAATGAATCCCAAGAGTGTGTGTGCTCTTAATCTGGCTTCTGCCCTTTGTGAGGTGGGGTAAAGATGGATAACTTATTAAAAATGAGGTGAAGGCCTGGGTCAAAGTAGAGAAATTTAGAACTCAACAAGTGTATCACTGTCTTTCATTTAAACCAGTCATGGCAAACCCATCACAGTTGTGCTACAGCCAGGTATTTGTTATCATTAAAAGCTCTACCGGGGTTGGGGGTGGGGGTGGGAAGCTCTACCGGGCGTAGTGGGGCAAACCTGTAATCCCAGCACTTACTCGGGAGGCTGAGGCAGGAGGATTGTGAGTTCAAGACCAACCGGGGCTACAAAGTGAGCTGAATGAAGGCCAGCCTGAACTGCATAGCGAGACTCTGTCTTAAAAAGACAAACAAACAAACAAACAAATAAAAAAAACGCTAGAAGGTTCACCATTGCTGATTTAAACTAGTATTTGGAACTTCTCAGAGGTATGGAAGAGCCCAGTGTGGTTTTTTGTCTGTTTGTTTTGAGACAGGGTCTCAGGAAGTTGAGTAGCCTGGGCTCAAATTTGTGATCTTCCTGCCTCAGCCTCCCAGAATACAATTACAGTTGTGTACCACTTTGCCTGGCTCAGTCATGTTGCTTTAATACGTACAGCACTCCTCATGGGCATCATGTGTGGTCTATATCCAGTGGGCATTAGAAAACTGTAAATGAGAGAGAAAAACACAGCTACCAGATCTCAAAAGTACATACTAAGAAACCCTGAACCTAAATGTCCTTCATTCAAGTATCAGATGAATGTCGTGGAGGAGGTCCTCTGTGTAGCGTACCTGGGTTCCTGGAGGTCGGTTAATATCTCTGTTCACTGTGTCACCAAGCTGCGGAGGTCCCCACTGGCAGCCAGAAGGTGGTGGCCTTCCGAGGTGCAGGCCACCTGCAGAGGTGCTGAGAAGGTGCTGAGTGAGGCAGTGGCTCTGTGAGTACGTCTTTACCAGGCACACATTGAATCATTCAGTAATGTTAGTCACCTTCGGGGTCAGGTGTGGGGAAGTGTTGAGGGGGCAGTAATCCATCCTAAGAGGGTCTGGGTGTGGTTGATTTGTTTTTAAAGAACAGACAAATGTGGACTGTTAAAAAGTGTGGACTGTTAAATGGAGAATGAGTAGGTACAGTCATTCCCTTCCCTTTTTCTGCTAGACAGGGTTTCACTAGGTCATCCAGGTTAGCCTTGAACTCAAAGTGATCCTCCTGCCTCAGCCACCTGAGTGCTGGGATTACAGGCATGTACACCTGGCTGTCACCTCACTATAAAGGTTGATAAATTATAATCCTTGAATGCCCCATTTCAGTTTACACTGGGCCATATTAACTATCTTAACTAGCCCATTTTATATCAGATTAATTTGGGTTAAAAAATTTCTTGCCTTTTTGAGACAGGGTCTCACTATGTAGTCCAGGCTGGTCTCGAACTCGCAACAATCCTCCTGCCTCAGCCTCCCAAGTGCTGGGATTACAGGTGTGCACCACCACACCTGGCAAGACGTCGAATTTTTGTACTCATTCATCTTGGGCCTTTGAGCCTTGTTCCCTGTGGTACGTACTCTGTTTTGACCTTACAGATGGTTGCTGGAAATATTCACCGGGGGCCCTGTGCATCTGGGCCTCTTGGGCAGCTGCTTCCCTCTAAGGGTGTCCCGCTGACAGTGGGGCCAGGTTCCACCTGCAGTCACTTCACTATTAGGGTTGCAGTACCAGAGCTCTTTTTTTTCCTCCTGGTACGATGACTCAACTCACGACCTTGCGCTTGCCAGGCAGGCGCTGTGCTGCCGAGCTAAATCCCCAGCCCCAGTACCAGAGCTCTGTATGTGGACAGGTAGTGTGGCTTCTTGTGCCTTGCTGGGCAGGGACTAGCGTCCAGGGCATTTGTCCATTAGGGTTTTAGCCACATTGTGCCAAGGCCTGGAGTCATGTTAGCCTGTGCATCAGGGGACAAAGTGCAGTAGTGATAGAGGCGCAGTCAGCTCCCTGACCTGCATGGTGTGGCCTACAGTATAGGTGTGCAGTGTAACTAAAGAAATCCATGAGATTAGGTCCTGTGGGGTTCATGTATGTAGCAATGCAAAAAACAGGTGAAAACCCTCGGACTAAACCTGTGCGTGGAAGCTACGGATGGGAAAGGCACGGGCTGCCTCTCTCAGACAGCGTTCTCTTTCTCTTGTTGTGGGCAAGAATGCACACGCATCTTCCACACCAGCGCACCAGGCAGTGAGCCTGATGCCAGGTGCTTACCGTGACTCACGGGGAATGGGGTATCAGGTGCAGTGACAGCAGCAGTAGCTGTGGGAGGGAGGTGTGCGCATCCCAGCTGCACCAGCAAAGGACGGAGTCAGAGCTGGACTGCATCCTCCTCACCTCAGTTTCCAAATTCTTTCTTACACTTCGGCATCGCATCCCAGGTACAGATGGCTTTCTGTGTGGTATTTATCCTCTGTGATGGCACATACACGGAACCAAGTTACTGCACATGAAGGACACTCCACAGGTGACATGACAAGGGAAGTTAAAATGTTTATTCATGTTCATATCTAGTGACATGAAAAAAGTCTCATTGAAAGCCAGCCAGCTAGAGATACAGCGCAGTGTTCACACTATGCTCACGGAGGGCAGAAAGGCTCAGTCATCCTGTGCGTTCGAAGTCACCCAGGCTCTTGAGACAAGATCCCACTTACCCAGATGGCTGGGATGTCTTCAGGATGACCTGCTGCCTCTCACAGAACAGCAATGGGCTCAACAGAACTGCACACTACTGATAGTGAGCTACCGGACTTCAGAGTCATTCCATTGGCGGGTCTGTACATCCCAAGAGTCAAGCAGAGAGTAGAGTGTGAACTAGAACACAAGCCGCAGAACTTCACCCCGCAGACTGACACGCACTTCCCTCCTTCGACCTCATCCAGCACTGTGGTCCGGGGTGTAAGGCACTAGAGAACCGGGGTCGGAGAAGGTGCTCCGAGCTGCAGGTCTTGGTGTGCAAAGGAAATCGTGGCATATTTTGGATACTAAAAATATCTCCCCTCACCTAGTAGTTTCTGTCCTTTACAGACAAAAACAAGATGTTTACAAAGGATTAAAAACAGGTGCACTTAATTATGAGAAAAATGGCCCGTGAAGAAATGCAGGTTTTCCGTTAGATGCTCTCTGCTTAGAGAAGAATCAGAAGAAACCACCATGATGACGAGTGAACACGGAGAAGGCAGAGATGTAAAAAATGCTCCATTTTTGTGCGAAACAGTGCAGTGGTCATGACGAGGGACCACGATGCTGAGTGCTGTGGTGGTGTGAGCAAGAGGGCTCACACTTCAGCACCGTCAAGTGGAGGCCAGAAGCGGCGGCGCAGGGCGGCACTGCCCGACAGGCCGGGGCTCACCCGCTGCCCCCTGCGTGTACACAGTGCGTGGAGCCCAGGCGCATGCTACAGGTTTTCTGGGGTGGCTGCAGTGGCAGCACCTCATTCTGCAGCGTTGCCCAGTGATGATCAGCACTCTGTCATAGGTATTAGAGAGGACCCTGGCCAAGAAGCATCAAAGCCACAGACACGAACCTGTAGCTCAGCCCTGAAAGCAGCCCGATTCGAGTGCTCTGCAGGACAGGGTCTCCTAGGACTTGCTGCGACGGGAGGCCACGGAGGTTCCCTTGTGTCTTGGGTCTCTAGAGGATGGTGAAGGCACATTCAGATGCCAGCACAGGTGTCGGTAAGTCACGGGATGGACAGAGCCAGCTGTCAAGGCTGTGGGCATCTCTGTAAGAAAGCACCTGCCACTAACATCTCAGGTACCTGCACAAGCAGGACAGCAGACTTAGCTGGGGATTGATCTCTCATGTTTTAGTTACTTTCTTGCAAACAGCCTAGGAAAGAAAGCAAACAGGTAAGATTGTGTGCCCAGGAGAGACGCCCCAGGGAGAGCACATCACCTGATGCAGCTCTCGGGGTCACAGTGAAGCTGGGACTTAGTCACAGGGCTAAACAATCCCCAGCCTGATGGGGATCTCCCACATTTGGAGGTACAGGGACCTCCGGAGCAGCACTGGAAGTAGTGCTGTTACAGAAGGTTAGAGGACATCAAATAGGTGATCTAAGCAGTAAGTCGTCCCTTTCAAGCTCTTCAAGCATTCTGAATTAGGGCTGTTGCCTCCACCAGGGCAGTGTAATGAAGGGGCAATCTTGCCTACACACGCTCCATCGAAGGTCCACGGCAGCAGTACAAAACTGCACCCAGGGAAAGGTAGCTCAAAGAGAGGCGCACAGAAAACTTGCAAATCTGGGTCTTTGTTGGTTCAAGGCCAACATACTGTTTCTAGGTTCCAAAGCATTACCTAGGTAAATGTGCTGGCGAAAGAACAGAATGTACAGTGCCTTCCCCACAGATAATTTCAAAGAGAAAAGCCCCGGAATTCCTTGACTCACACTGTTACATTGTCACACTTCTATGGCCTTGCTGTCCGAGAGACTGGATGACACATGTGAGCGTGTTGTGCTTGTCCTGCCTTATAACCACCAGCACTGTAGCTGTCCTCCAGATCTAGTGCTTTGCAGCCGCCACCCAGAGTGCTGTGACGTCTCCCTTCAGCAGGCAGGGCTTCCGCTGCCCTCTGCTGCTCAGCACCGGACAGTCAGGGAGGAGTCTGTTCACAGCACTCCCGTCAGGGCCAGCTACGGGAAACAAGCAGACTGACCCTGCCCTTGTGTGCATGAAAAACTGCAAGCTGCGTGATTTTCAATACATTACTTAGAAATCACAGAGTTAATTAACAGAACAGAAACTTGCTAGAGATTAACAAGTGCAAAAAAGATACAAGCCATAAAGTCTACCTTGAATATACTTCTGTGTGCATAATACATTGCGGTGGCTTTTACTTTTTCAATTTGGAACTTAAGTGGCGACACTTCTGTTAACAATTGAAGCACAAATTTATTGCCACAGTTGTGTTGTCTGCATAAATCCAGAATTTCTTTTGGACTTCAAGTAAAATTTCATTTACAAAGACAGATTTGGAGTGGTGCAAACATATGTGAAAGCATGTAGCTACCTGGAACTCGACACCACCCGCTTCCATCTGTCAGAGTCGGCCTGTTCGTGGCCTGTAGGTGGCCCAGGGCTGTCCCTGTCCCGGGTCCTTCCCGGGCGCTGCTGCCCTGCTCAGCACTCTCCTGGCTGCCTAGAAGCAGCAGGTCTCAGCAAGTGAAATGCACACCTGCTCCCAAGGAGCGTTCTAACCACACTCTTCCTTAACAAATCAACCAAGATGCCCCACGCATAGGCGGACACTGCAGTCGCTTACTACACAGGAGGGGCAGCTGGGGAAATGAAGAGATGTCTCGGAGGAGCCGGTCTGCCCGAGGGTAACGTGCACCACGGCCAGCTAAGGCAAAAATGTGGGAATGTTAAGCTGCTCTCATGAACTGATCTTTAATATCCCTACAGGTTTAGCAGAACTAATGCCTCCAAGATACCAAGACAACAAAAACTACACCTGTATTGAAATTTCTAATAGTTTTTTACTCTAATAAAAAACCCCAATGAGGGTGGTTATATACAAGGGGAAATGAAGTGTTGGGGCTGGATAGCTCAGTCTGTGACCTCCAAGCTTTACCGTGAGCAAACAGACACTCCTGGTGAGTGTGCAGGGTACTGTCGGTGCTCTGTTCCAGAGGGCATGAGGGTGGCTGGAGGGAAAGCAAGCCTAGATGGAAAGTAAAAAGCAGCCCTCTAGCCTCCGAACTCCCAGCTGCTACACTCGAGAACTCTGGATGGACTCATCTCTGTGTGGCTTTGCTTCTTCCATACCCAGGGGCATAAAGTTCCAGGCTTCACTGTGAGCTCGGCATGAACAAGGTTTACTCACTCTGGCCGGCCTGTCCCCTCCCTGTTCTAAATAAAGGAAGGAAAACGTGCTGAGCTTGTGAGCTGAGGGCGCAGGGCAGAGGAGAGGCTTAGAGTCACACGAGGAGGAAAATCAAGATAGGACTGACCTTTGAACAGCAGAAAAGCCAGTGCTGGTGGTGACACAGTTTGTAGTAAGACCTTCTGCTGGGAAACGCAACACAAAAGGTAACATGGTTTCTCCAACACTGGCATACCTGCTTCCTCAGCTGGGAAACAAAAATCCACCTCAGTACCGAGATGAGCAAGAGATGAAGAAAATCATAGGTAGGCTGCCCTGGCCCGAAGGTGTGAGAACTGGCTCCAGCGGGCAGATGAAGATGGTGCCAGTTAACTGTGTCTTTTTTTCTTTTTTTGGTACTGGGGCTCAAACTCAGGACTTTGCAATTACCCGGCGGGTACAGTGCCACTGAGCTCTGTCCCTGGCTAATCACTTCTCTCTCCTATGGCCCACACAGTGTCCACATGCGGCCTCCCCTAGTGAGGTAGATGATCATCCTCTTGCTAGAGGTATCGGGCGCCAGCCCACAGTGCGACAGGATAGGACAATGATCTGCCTAGCTAAAAGGCACAAGCTATTTCAGGGGCTGCGTCACGTACCAGGCTTCTCTGAGGAACTGTAGCCCAGGGAGACGGATTCGTCCCTGAGGCCCGGACAACACTGCAGGCCTCGTTTAGACACAGAATTTGGAATCACTCTGTCACCTTAACACAGTTCCACAGGGCAGCTTGCCTCTGTCCTCCCTGTCAGGTACACTTCCTGCCACCATGGGAATCTGAACAGGGATGGATGGGAAGAAAGAAAGGCTGCAAAAGTTTAAAAGCAGGTCAAGTTCAAAATTAGATCGAGGAGATAAGAAATATGAGGCAAAGTTTCAGTGAGCGGAACCGCTCGGGGAAAAGGAAGCTCTCATGGTGATGCTCCTCAGGTGAGATGATGGGAGGCGGAGACAGTGCCTGGTGTTACTTCCCATGCAGGTCACTCAGCTCCACATCATCCTTTCGGCGCTTGTGCGTAAAGAGGGAGGCAACAGGGTAGAGCTTGGCCTTGGCTTGGAACCGGTAGCCCGCAATGTCAATCTCGTATTCTCCCCGGTTGACAAAATCTACTGTGACCACCTGCTCCTCCCCAGTGTCCTCGGAGAAGTTGTGCACAAAGCCCAGGCACACGTGGCGCTCCAGGGTGTAGCTGTAGGCACTGCTGGTGGTCTGCCCGACATAGCGGCCATTCCGGTAAATAGGCTCCCCCCACCACGGCCAGAGGTCCAGGTCCGTGTCGTGGTCCTCCAGGATGAACATGGTGAAGCGCTTGTACACTCCGTTCTGCTTCTGCTGCAGCAGTGCGTCCCGGCCCATGAAGTCCATGCCCTAGGAAAGAGGAGCAGCTGAGACAGTGCCCCGCGGGGGCCGCCCCGGTCCTGCCGTGCTGGCTTCCCTGACATGGCCTTTACCCCCGAGTGAGAGCTGCACAGAGTTTTTTCTTTTTTTGCAGTACTGGGGATGAAGCTCAGCCAGGGCCTTTGCACCGAGCTTTCCCTAGCCCTTTTTCAATTTTTACTTGGACAACGTCTTGCTCAGTTGCTTAGGCTGGGCTTGAACTTATGTCCAGTCTGAGCCTTCCAGAGTACGACCAATCTGGCTTTTTTCCTAATTTTTTAAATTTTATAAACAGATTTCAATCATAAGACCACACAGAACAATATTTAGAAAGAGAAATCACACAAAAATACTTGCTAGAATTTTTAGAATTCCTCTTTCTTTTGGTACTGGGAATTGAACTCAGGACCTTGTGTTTGCCAGGCAACTTTGTACCACTGAGCTATATCCCCTGCCCCTCTTTTGTGGCACGGAGATGGAGTCTCACTATGTTGCCCTGGCTGACCTCAAATCCCTGGGCTCATGTGGTTCTCCTGCCTCAGCCTTCCAAGTAGCTGAGACTGTAGGTACACACACCAACAACCAGCTAAAGATAATGTTTGTAAGCTGTGAGTTATTACTGTAATATCACAGAAAAGTCATTCCATGTAATGGCTCCGAAAGAGCACTACAGCCAAGACACTGCACTGTGCAGACAGCCCTGGTCTGCAAGAGCGCGAGGGAGAACTCGGCACTCTGCTGCTGCCATGGCCAGGGCCTGGGTGGGCTGCAGGGGCGGACAGACTTGTCTTCCACAGAGCATTCTCTGCAGCTGTGTGTTTAAAAAGTGTTCGTCTACTTAAATTAAGCAGCTGATCTGTACAAACCCACGTGGCATGTTACTAAACCAAAATCAGTTCAGAAACCCTTCTGGCCAAGCACTGATTCTTCAGAGGGCAAGGCGCCTTGGCCGGTCTGCCGTCGCTCATCCAAGTGGACGCTGCCCTGTTGAGGGTCCCAACCAGCCCAGCGCCTTCACCTGCCACCTCACCCTCCCGGTCCCAGTGCCGATCTCAACCCTCAGCAGCAAGCCGGTGACTACGGTACCTTCTCCAGCTTCACCCGAGACTCTCGTCCACACTCCAGCGGCGTGGTGAGCATGTTTAAATCCTGGCCCCAGAAGGCAAAAAACTTCTCAATTCGGAGGCTGCGGAGGGCGTAGTACCCAGCATTCCGGATTCCGTACTTCTGCCCGACATTCATCACTTCGTTGTACACGTGCAGAGCGTACTGGCCAGAGGGAAGGAGGGAGAGAGGAGAGCTCAGTGCTCAGCGGCCCACCAGAGCAGGCACAGAGCAGGCTGGAAGCGGTGGCACTAACGCTGTTATGTGGACAGAGCCAGAGTCACACAAACTCCGGGGCAATTCATCCTTGAGCCGTGGCCTAGAGCCAGCAGTAATGAGCTGGGGTTCCCTGGCCTGGGCGACAGATTCCACCACAGCAGGGTCCTTACCTTTCACTTCCCTGACGTGATTTCAGTATACAGCAGCTATCGCACAACTCAACTTTCTGAAAAAGCCTGGTGACCAGTCTCCACCCAGTTCTGGCTTTGTCTCTTGCTCCAATTCTCAACCTGTGCTAGTGCAGCACACACTGGCCCAAGCTGCAAAAACCCAAGCTCTCACTCGTAACTACAGATAAAGACATGCACCACACCTGACCTTTCACACATGAAGCCACATCTAGAAGGAAGAACCATGAGTACTGTCTGTATGTAATAAGGCTCAACCCTAGAAATCCCAGAGACTCACCTGAAAATAAAGACTAAAAACAATATAATTGCATAAGGAAACACACTAACATCATCAGTCAGAATATCTTGGAACAAAGACACCCTTCCTCATTCACGGCAACAAAAAAACAAAATATTAACTGAATAAACTTTAATGAAGACTTCAAAATACCTCTGAAAGTCACCAAAGAAGTTGAGAAACATAAGACAAGACAGTGCATGTCTGACTGTAAGATCCAGGATCTCATAAGACTGTTAATTTTCAGCTGAGTGTGGTAGTAAACATCTATAATCCTAGCATTGTGGGAGACTGAGGCAGGAGGATCCCAGGTTCAAGCTCAGCTGGGCAAGTTAAAAAACAGACCCTGTCTCAAAAAATAAAAAAAGGCTGGGGATAGAGTTCAGTGTGAAGGCCCTGGGTTCAAACCCCAGAATTACATACACACAACACACATGCGCACACACAAAAGTAACATACCCCAAAAAATATAAACGAAGTTTTTGTGACAGTCCCATTAAGCTGCCCAGGCTGACCTTGATGTTCCTGCCTCAGCTTCCCTAGTGGCTGAGATTACAGGGATACACCATCACATCCAACTTTTTGCTCTTTCATTTTAAAAAAAGTTCTTGAGAGAAAATGAACAGGAATTGTTCTTTTCCAACATAACGCAGGATAAGCTCTAAAAAATATGACAACACACAGACTCAAAAACACTGTGGCTCCAAGCTAGGCAAGTGGTGCATACACTGAGTACCTTCTAAGTGCCAAACACGTGAGACAGATGATGGGGAAAGACGTTAGCAGTATAAAGTTGCGTGGTGAACAAAATAAGTAAAATATATTTTACTAGACAGTGTTTAAGTGTTACAGAAAATCTTGCCTCGTAGGCTCCCAGAGGGAGGGCCCCCAGCACATGGGGAGCCTTGGGCGGGGAGCACCGGTCTTCGGACCGGCGGCTCACTCCTGGCCTCGTAGGCCCCTGGAAGGAGGGCTCCCGGCGCACAGGGAGCCATGGGCGGGGAGCGCAGGTCTTCCGGCTGGCTAGCTTCCTGCCTCGTAGGCCCCCAGAGGGAGGGCCCCCAGCACATGGGGAGCCTTGGGTGGGGAGCGCCAGTCTTCTGGCTGGCTAGCTTCCTGCCTCGTAGGCCCCCAGAGGGAGGGCCCCCAGCACATGGGGAGCCATGTGGCGGCGAGTGCTGTTGCGCGCCAGCCCTTAGGCCGGCTGCCGCCACTCAACTGAGATCTATCATGACACAGAGAAACAGTGACACAATTGGCCCACCATGCACCGACTGCAGTTGCCCACCCACAGATGTGTGTGAGTCATTCAAACTTTGAACAACCCCTGGGAATACATGCCATACAACGGGCCACTCTTGCCGGCCATTGAGAACCAGAAAGGTCCAGAGCCAGTGGAGGAGCAGCTGCTGAACAAGGACTCAGAGAACATGAGAATGCAGACTAAGCCCACAGAGTCAGAGGTCCAGTGGACTGGGGTCATGAGAGCCGCTCGGAAGCTGTAAACCAGGAGGACCTTGCACAATACCTGCAGAGACTCATTGGAAGCCATTCTTCCCCTGACAGTACAGGCTGTGGTGGAGCTCTGGAGAAGTCTGCAGCAGGATTCCTGCTGCCTGTGCTGACAGTTGGGGAGAGGACACTAACTGGTTGTGGGGTCCCAATGCGATGGGAGGCTGGAGAGAAAATGCTACAAAAAATGGCTTTTGCCCCAGACGACTCACTTGATTTTTGACAACCCTTAGGCTGTAACTACTTGTTAGATCCTTCTTGTGTATCTCTGTCTTCCTGAGAAACCACTTTGAAGATACCACCATGTATTACAGCAGTCATTGATATTTTCCTACTAATCTATCCGTAACTCTGTAATGTTTATATTGTTCCTATCCTATTTCATAATTGGATCCATGCTTATTATTATGTGTTTCCTACAACAACCATTGAGAATTATTGAATGATTATTCAGTAGGTCACTCATGCATAGTTCTATTTATATTCTTTAGAAGCCACTTTGAAGATACCTAAGTATAGTACAACAACTATTGATAATCTCCTACCTCTTTTGTCTGTAACTCACTATCATTTGTCTGTTTGTTTTTCTGAGAAACTATCTTATAGATAACAATATGTGAAACAATAACCATTGATAATTTCCTACCACTTTGTCTGTAATTTGGTAAGCCCCTATTATTATGTTATCCTTCTTTTACTCTTTAAAAAAAAAAAAAAAAGTGTTACAGAAAAAAGTAAAAAGGAAAGAGAGCCAGGCGTAGTGTACATCCATAATTCCAGTTCCTTGGGAAGCTGAGGCAGGAAGATCACAAGTTCCAGACCAGGCTGTATAAATCAGTGAGACCCTGTCTCAAAAGGGGTGGGAACGTAGCTCAGTGGTAGAGTGCCCTTGGCTTTAATCCCTAATATCACAAAAAACAACAGTGAGAAGGAGCCCAGGGAGGAGTACGGGTGCTACAACTTGCTATACTAAGGTCTTAGTGGAAGGTGACATGTAAGTAAGACCCAACAGAGGGACACTGTGCCCTTACAAGTGTCTATCTGAGGAAGGACAGGCCAAAGGAGTGCGAAGAATTTAGTGGAAGGCAGAAGGCCATTCAGCGTGTTCCAAGGCCAGCAGAAGGCAAAGAGGCAGAGAAGCAACAAGGTGGACGGCAAGCTTGGACCACATCAGGCCTCAGCTGGCTTGGGCTTGGCCACAGAAGGCTCTGAAAGGTCGCTCAGCCCCACTCATCAGGAAAGTCAAAAACTTTCACACCTAATGCTACCAAAAGCCTACGTCTGACAATGGGTTCCCGCAATAAAGAGAAAAGCTTCCACGCCACACAACTTTTTATACGAGCCAAGGACTAGAAACACCAAATGTCTGCTAGTACAAGACTGGGTGAGTACATTATGATTCCACCCTAAGGTGCAATACTGTGAGAAATAAGGGCTGGGAAATAGCTCAGCAACAGAGCACCTGTCTAGCAGAAGCAAGGCCCTAGGTTCAATCCCCAGCACCACAGAGAAAAAAGAAAAAAGGGGAAGCTCTTGCTCCTGAGGTACAGACAGAAAGGTCTCTACGGTGCTGTTAAGTGGAACAGCCAAGATAAAGGACAGTGTACTTCCATTTGGGTCTTTATGGGAGGGCTAACATCTCCCTTCGAATACGCTCGCATATGCATAACCATCTCCCTGACATCATAAAAACAAATACTAATACAGACAGTTTGCGAGAACTTGTCACATGGCACTGAGCAGTTTGATGATTTTATAAAACCTCTTGCATACAGCCTATTTCGATTCCAAAGGCCCAGACACACACAGCTCTCTGAAGCTGCCTGTGCGCACAAGCTCTGGGAACAGCAGCCTGTCCTGGGTCCTAGCAAGGACCCTGAGCACCCTCACCTCGATGGGGATGTACAGCATGAAGCCCGGCTCCCCCGTGTGGGTCATGCTCATCACCCGGATTCCGTTCGCGTAGCCCACGCTCATCTCCTGCAGAGGCAGAGACAGAGACGACAGTGAGTATGGACAGGCACTCAGGCCTGTCATGGGAAGGAGGCCCGAGGACCCCCTCGTTCACGCTGCGCCCTGTGCTTACTCTAAGGAGAGGCACATGAAGGCAGGCCTCTCGCCCTGAAAACAGAGCCCAGCCTTTCCAACGTCTCTTCTCCTGAACATCACTGTGTCTGGACTGCTAGCCTAGCTGACAGTGGCAAGGGCAGCACTGTCCTTGACAAGCATGAACTATTTCCCAAGTCCTCCTAAAGACCTGGACTGGCCACATGTCTTCTCTGGGGGACTCTACAGATGAATCCTTGGCACCTGCTATACAAAAGATGATGCCTGGTGCCCACTGAACACAGCTCATTTGCTACCCAGTTCCTCACTTTCAGAGCAGCTCAGGTAGCAGCGGGGCCTGTCCTGTGAAGCCAGGATGGGGAGCCCACACACCAGGGCAAAGCGGGCGGAAGGAACTCCGGGAGGGGTCTCCTCACAGCTAAAGTGGGGTTTTCTTTCTGCCTCAGAGAAGAGGGGAAAACTAAAGATAACTGGTAGGTGGGCCCTAAATCTGGTTTGAACTTCAAAGAGTCCCTGTGGTAACTGTCCCACAGTTCAGTGTCCCAGGACCCTGAGAGTGTCCACTGGGTTGTTGGTCATCATCTGTTACTCAGTCATCACTGCTTTTATTGTTACAATTGTTCTGCCCAGCTACAGTGGCCACTAACAAGAAAGAAAACACGTATGTTGTTTAGAGATTCAGTTACACCATTTCTCCTCTGAAGACACTGTGTCTATACAGAAGTGACTGACAAAGAGGAAGCAAGGACAGGAAGAAAAGCCTGGTCTGTAGTGTCAGTGTTGTAATCTTCTAACTTAAAATTTTTATCCACTGCAACAGAACCATAAGCATGGAGCTGTGACACTCAGAAAAGCTAACTCGCTTCAGAGATTCCCTCACACTTACTAAGGAAAGCCTCGAAGGTGAAAAAGGATACAATTACTCATTTTGTTTGCTTAATAAAAGTCAACGCTTTGTTGGAGTGAGAGTAAGAATATGTACCTACCACCACTGTCCATTTAAAGACAACGTTACCAGCACCCACCTTGCAAAACAGAGTTGGGAAGTGGTCTGCAGTCATAGGGGCATAGGACAGTTCAGACAGCACATCCACAGCTCGCGGGCCAATCAGGTTGAGGGCTGTACGGGAAAGAAGAGATGTAAGCTTCTCCGGGCAAACCACTGGGCTGACGGGAAAGGCTGGTTCGGGATGCACCACGATGGCCAGACCCAAGTGGCAGGAGCACAGGAGTGAGCTTTGCTTGGGTAAGTCCAGGGCAGACGCCAGTCACCCTGATTCTGGCCCATACGCCTCTGCTGACAGCACTGCTGGATGTGTCTGCTGACGGGGCTCACCCTGGTTTTTTAAGATGACTGTCCGCAGTGAGATGGGGTCAGGAGGCTGAGCCCTGGCCAATGAGACACCTTCAGGGCTGGCCACGCCTCCCCATCCAGATTCCTGTTCTCATCTTCTCCCCATTGTGGCTGGAAAAAGCCCCAGTTCCGAGTCAGTACCTGGAGGACAGCTGTCCACCCACTTGGATCTCTAATGTCTGTGACAGCAGCTTATGCTAGTTAACATACAGACACCGTAACACTGGAACACCACTTTCATTCAGTAAGATTCTGTAGTTTGCCAACCTGGTAGCAAGGAGTGAGTCCTACTTGCTACTAGTGACAAATCAAGAGTGAGGCCTGGGGACATCAACACTGGCAGGGGCAGGGTGCGAGAATAGGAAGGAGCCACTCCCCAACTAAGACTGCTGAGAAAGAGAGAAGCAGATTAACTCATCCTTAAAAATTATGTACTCACATTGGATATGATGGTACATGCCTATAATCCTAGCTCTCGGGAGGCTGAGGCAGGAAGATTATTGCGAGATTGAGGCTAGTCTGAAATACATAGTGAGACCCTGCCTCAAAACAAAACAAAAACTGTGTACTCATTGAAAAGGGGGAAACCTTGACGACTCTATTACTTAAGTAATAAATATAAAAACTCTTAAAATTCTTTATTCATTCATCCAGGAAACACTTGCACTAATGCATGCTAGCTATACGGGGAGGTAGCAATAAACAAAATAAACACAAACCAAAGCAGTCATGTCACACTTCCCCGCTAAGAAAGTGGGGACGTGTGAGAGGTCAGCTATCTAGGACCAAAACCCCCTTTGTTGCTCACTCTGATATCATTTCCAACATGCCTCTACCCCTGCCTCCATCCCACCAGCTGCCCGGAGGCCCTCACCCGTGTATTTCCACGTGACATCCTCCAGCACCAGGTTGCTGTCCTCAGGCATGTGCTTTTTAAGCCAGGCCCAGCAGTGAACCTGCTGGTCTGTTGGAGAGATCATGAAGAAACTGAAAGGGAGACGTGGAGAGAGGATCAGGAAACAAGTTCTAATCCAGTTTCAAAGCTCCTCTGAGAATACTGCAGAACGATCTCTTACATAATGAAAAGCAAAATTCTAACTTCCTGTTAGTGCCAAGAAAGACTTACTAACATGAAGGAAGGCACCCTCTCCAGGAGAGTGACGAACTTCTACACCAGCTCTGACATGATTTGCTGGGTCCTTGCGGATTACTGTAGGGCCTAATGACTTGGCCATGAATTCATGGCCTGATTTCTCAGTCCCTGGGATAAGCGGGTCTCCTGGAGAAGAGCTTGGGGAGGGCCTCTGCTGCGCTTACAGAACGCTTCGGGGAGCAGCGTGTCGGGCTGAGCAGTGGCAGCAACCTCACCTGCGCTTGCTCAGGCGTGCGATGCTGCAGTCATTCTCGTAGCCCCCGGCCTCGTTCAGCATGCCTGTGTGCACAATGTGGCCCACGGGCACATCCAGGTCATTAGAGAAGAGGAACTGCAGAACTTCTAACGCCTGGTCCCCGGTAGACTGAAGGGGAGGAAATAAGCAGGGGTAGTGAGCACAAGAGCACCCGGTTAGTCACACGGCCAACAGCCTGAGTCCTGAGGACATCCCACAGGCCAGCACCCATGCAACAGGAACTGCAGATTTACTCAATGGTAGGAAGGGCCAGGGAAAGCTACTACTGACTCTTGCGGTCAGTGGGCCTCTCTAGGCAAATTAAAAACCAGACAAAGGAGCTAAAAATTCAGAAAAATGTAGTATACAAATGAAACCTGAAAGAGAACAAAGTTCTTTCAGAATCAGTTTTGAAGTGACGGATGATATACAGGTGGCCTTCAGTAAATATGCAGTTTTCCAGTCTGTTATTTGGATTCCCAAACACTTACTGTTATCTCAAACTTTGTGAAAGAGGACATGTCAATAACACACACTGCTTCCTTACAGCACTTGACTTCAGACTCCACAATGTCAAACCAGTCTGGTTTATAGAAAGTCTTGCTCTGCTCCAAGGCGAGGAGGTCTACAGAACAGAAAAAAACAGAAGGTGCAAAGGAAAGGAGGGACTGTACACTGCAGCCTAGCAGTCCTTTTTGCTATTTTTCCAGGAATACATCCAGCTACATACATTTACAATATCCCAAGAAAAAAATAAATAAAAACGGTAATTTCTCACCCTTGTCAGGTGGAACGAAGTACTTTGGCCTCTCAAATCCATGTTTCTCCATCCACCTGGCCCCTTGAGCATCCAGCCGGTCATACAGAGGAGACGTGCGCAGCTGCCTACCAGTCTGGAAGTCCCAACGAGGAACCTTCAGGTCGTAGATCAGGGCTAGAACAGATAAGAACAGGCTGTCACAGCCCCGAGTCACACACTCCGGGCTGAGCACCCTGAATCCACTAGACCCTGGGGTCACTCCTATTTAGACAGCGTAATTTGCAGGCTGACAAAGCCTAATTGCTCAAATATTACCCGGTACAACGGGCAAGCTCCAGCAGGACAATACTACCGAGCTGGCATTATCCCTGTGTGACACTATCCAGGCAGCGACTCGTGCTCTCTAGTGACAGTTATACTTCCAAAGTAGTACACAGACAGGATGGGAGACTGGCCAAGGGGAAACCGTGCTCAACTCCACCGCAGAAACGGCAACATCTAAGTGAGACACAGGTGGTGAAGTGTGAAAAGATGGCACTTGATTCTTTGCCTGTGTTGGGATCTCAGACCTATTACAGACATTTCCTCCTCTCTCAATATTTAACCCATTTCTGAAGTGGAAGGGTACATAGCATACCTTGATTTGGTGGCTCTGAAATCTGAGAGGTTGCAATGTATTGTCCCAGTGACATTATTCACATAACAAAGCTAGGGTCAGAATTCATTTCTCTTAATGTCCAATCTGCAACAGCAATAAGTAAAAAGAGCCAGCAAGAATATGATCTCTAGTCTCTTCCCAAGACTGACTCAGTCCGAGCCAAAGGTACACTGGGGGAGGGAAGGTTGGGAGAGTGAGGAGGAAGAGGCCACAGTAAACTTCTTTTTTTTTTTTTTTTGTTTTTGGTACTGGGAATCAAATTCAGGGCCTTGCACTTGCCGAGCAGGCACTGCAGCACTAAGCTATATTCCCGGTCCAATTACGTTTTTGTTTTTGGTACTGGGAATTGAACGCAGGACCTGTGTTTACTAGGCAGGCACTGTGCCACTGAGCTATATCCCTGGCAAGTTTCTTTTTTTTCAAATTTCTTATACTGTGACAACTTGTCACCCTCTTCTGGTACTTTAGGTTCTACCTTTTCTTTCCCTGTCCTATCATGCTTACAAATTCTGGGAATCACAGAAGTCCACCAGAAGTGTCACATCACCAAGAAGCAGCTCATCAAACACAATTATAATTTGCACAGCTGCTATAGTAACAGTGGGTGGGGAAATCTAGAATTACAATAGCTGAACATTTTAGCTAAGATATCTAAAATTAAATTCAGCAGTTAGATATACTGCTGCTAGTCTGTCCTCTTCCGTGGACCGAAGTTGTGTGTCACAAGGCAAAGCAAACATTCAGGTGTTAAAAGTCTCACCATGGATGTTGTCCAGTACTAAGGCAACAGTGCATCTGTAGCCAAGAAGGGTGGGCACAGCCAATGTAGAAAATTACTCTTTTTTTTTTTTTGGTACTGGGGAATAGAACTCAGGACCTTGTGCTTGCCAGGCTGATGCTTGTCTCACTGAACTATATCCCTGGCCCTAGAAACTTACTCTTGAACATAAACACGCCCCAAAATACTTATAAATTATTTGGCAAGGTCTGAGAATAGTCCTCAGCATAGGAAAATGCAGTTTAATTTCTGATCCAAAAGGTGTCTCTAAAGGCTTGCTGGAGCTGGGCGTGGTGGCACACACCTGTAATCCCAGCCCTCGGGAGGCTGAGGCAGAGGGATCGTTGCAAGTTCGAGACCAGCCTGGGGCTAAAAAGTGAGCTCAAGGCCAGCCTGAACTGCATAGGGAGACCCTGTCTCAAAAAGACCAAAAAAAAAAAAAAAAGGCTTGCTGGAAAATAAAGACAAGGTGGAACGAGTTCAGATGATCAGGCCAATCCTTCAGAGCTGGAAGGAGGCAAGGACAAGGGGCAGGAAAGCAGGAATTAATGCTTTATAGTCACACGAGAGGTGCTTTCTTAGCTGGATAGCAAATAACAGACTGATGACAGAAGTCACTCAGAGAAGCCCAAAGCTCTGAGAAAACCTTGGCAAATCCTCTGCCTTGGAAAGAAAACAATGACCTCAAAACCCAAGTGGAAGCTGGGGAGCTGGGCCTACACTGAGATGTAGCTCAGTGTGAGAGCATTTGCCTGGCATACGAGGCCCTGGACTTGATCCTCAACACTGAAAACAAAAGCAAACCCACAAGTGGGGAGTGCAGGAGCATCACAGGACCTCTCAAGGCAAACTGGAAAGGAGGCATTGCGAGGGATACACAGGAAGCATCTGCAAAGCACCCATAAATCCACTTCCCTGTTCCCACAAGTAAACAGGGCTCAGTGTACTAACAGTGCTCTACAGATATCACATGGGGCATTAGGCTCCATCCCAGCCTGAAATCAGATGCCCAATTCAAAACAGTTATTAAAGAACGAAGGAAAAATGTGCCCTCTGAATGATAAAACAGGCCACCAGAAAGAGATGCCTGCAGCTAGGTGCAACGAGGCTAAGAGGGTAAAGCTTCACTTACGCATGACTTCCATGACCCGGTGGCGCAGAAAGGTACGGCTGCTCTGGAGGGCTCCAAAGCGTTTCAGGTCCAACTCCCAAACGTTTTCTGAGGGGTAACCATGTACTATCCATTCAGCGAGGTACCTGTTGAGATGGGGGACAAATGTCGTTGGGCCTCAGAAGTGATGCACAAGAGGATAATCTGTGCCTCAATAACTGCCTCATTAATCTGTCATTTGCTAACAAACGAAGAAAACACTTCTTGTGTGAATACAAAGTATTCATTTCTGCTCTTCCCTCTGTCCTTACCTCCTTCCAACTTGCCTCAAGTGTGAGACACAAGAAGATAAAAACGATATTCCACAAATTAGGAACCAGAAGAGGGCTGGGCACGGAGCTCAGTGACAGAGCGCCTGCCCAGCACACACAGGCCCTGGGTTCAGTCCCCAGCACCAAAGGGAGAAAATACGAACCACTGGAATCAAAACTGCTTATGCTGTCACAGACAGTGGACAATTTGGGGTGCAATTTCCTAAATTTTTCGTGAGGAGATCCATGATTACAATTATAGAACTACTAGGAGAATTTTAGTGCTAATAATGTTCCTAGAAATTGTTTAAGACATAAGCCACATCTATGAGGAAACAAGACCACACATACACATGTATATTGATTTGCAATCCGATGGTGCTTTCTGTAAAGGGGTCACCTGGGACATGCTGTGATCTGATCACGTCCCCTGCTCCAGAGGTTCTCAGCAACTCCTGTGACTGTTTTCAGAGCTATCCTGCAAGAGCTTTTCACTCAAAAAAACTGGTCTTACTCATTCAAAATTTTAAAAAAAGACTATTATTAAAATACAATTAGCCCCTGAACAACACAGGTTTAAACTGTGCAAGTTCATGTACATGCAGACTTTTTTTTGAGATTTGCAAAATATTTGAAAAAACTCCACGAAGAACCATGTCATCTAGATATATTGAAAAAATTAAGGAAAAAAGGTATGCCATGAATGCATTATATTGATGTCTGTTTTATCGTTCACTACCACAAAATAGATACAGATCTATTATTAAAGTTAAAAATTATTGCCAGCTGTATGGCGCACACCTGTAATCCCCACACTTGGGAGGCTGAGGCAGGAGGACTGTTCCAAGTACGAGACTAGCCTGGGCTGCAAAGTGAGCTCATGGCCAGTCTGAACTGCATAGGGAGATCCTGTCTCAAAAAGACAAAAAAAAAACCCCAACCCTGTAACATACAGAAGGTGTTAACTGATGGTGTAAACTGTCAGGAAGGCTTCTGTTCCACAGCAGACCATCAGTAGTTGAGTTTTTGGAGAGTCGCATGTTACACAAGGAACTCAACTGGGAGCAGAGCCCAGTGTACTTGGAGTAGCTTGCCACTGCTGGGGCTAGTGACCTTGGCCCAGGAGAAGCTGTCACTGCTGCAGCCACAGCAGGCTGTCCCCACCGTCATACTGTGAGCAGGACTGAGCAGATATCCACCCTCAGCTGTGCCCACACCAAGACCAGTGCCGGGAGTGGTGGCTGGTGGCCTTGCATGTGGTGCTTGCAGGTAGGTACAAAAAGATCACCCCAAAAAAGTAACAGTAAAATGGTTCAGTGTAAGGGTGGATGTGGCTTCATCAAGAGACTGACGCCAAGGAAGATGTATTTGGAGGCTAGCCTGCCAGGAAGAACCCCAGGAGGTCCTTTCCCAGTGGAGGAGATGGAGACTGGAGTCTGATGTGAGGGAGAGGCAGCAAATGCAGCAGGCTCGGGGGGAGTTCAGCTCAAGGCAGAAAGTACACAGCAGGCCAGAGCCATCTTAGATGCTGTTCATATGGTAGGGCCCCTGCATGCAGTCAACAGAACGGCAGAACAGAGGCGTGGGGGACGGGCTGGGGGATCTGACAGCCCTCAAAAAGATGAACAAAGGGTGTGGAGCACAGCCTGCCAACCCGCTGTGCAGGGCGCTAATGACCCGCACAGGAAGAGCAAGGCAGACCAGTGAGGCATGATGTGTGGGCTGCAGACCATGATTCTACAGGGCCCCTCCTGGCCACTGTCAGCACACAGGACAGCAAAGAAGAGGATACAGAGACTCGAGGAGAGGAGACCCGAGATTAGCAGCCACCTCTACTACCCACGCAGGTGCTCAAGAACCCCAAACCGTAAGAGGGCGAAGAGACAAAAGCTGCCGGTCTGCCAGCTGAGAATCGTGAGGGCTCCCAAGGCTGAGCAGGGCAAGGCTGAGTGCGTGCCGTTCTACCTTGTCTCATCCGCCACCCAACAAGAAGGAACAAGTACGGAGTGAACACAAGATCGAAGCAGAAGACCTGAAATGCTGCTTTCTGCCCAGTGACCAGACAACTAGAACTATTTACACTGCCTCTGTCTGCAGCATGGAGTTTTTGTTATTTTTTACCTAAAGATACCTCTCAGTTAACAACACACACGGGTTTTTTTAAGCCTGTCTTTTCTCACTATACCTTTAAAGATTTTTAAATTTTTTTGTATCTGGTCAGGTTGAGAGTTTTCAGAACTTCATTTTAAATTTCTAATAAAAATTTAAAAGCCTAGCATGTAGTGCACGTAAGCCCAGCTATTGGGGGCTGAGAGAGGAGGATCATAAATCTGAGGCCAGCATGGGCAGTTAGTGAGATCTTGTTTCAAAAAAAAACCAAAAAGTAATAAGGGCTGAAGACGTAGCTAGAAAGTACATATGTATCTATCTACACATCTACATATACACGTATCTACGTTCTAAGTGGATTTTCAACTTTGTGGAAGGGTTGGCACCTCTAAACCTCAAATTGTTCGCGATCAACTGTACATATAAAAATGATCATCTTAACTGTCGTTAAGGGAGATGTTCAGCGGCATGAAGCACATTCACACAGTTGTGTAACTATGACACCATCGTTTCCAGAACTGTCTTACAGAACTGAAACTCTGTACCTACTGCACAGTGACTCCTCGGTCCCTCCTCTCCTGACAACTGCTGCTGTGCCTTCTGTCTCTAGGAATGTAACCATCCCAGGGACCTCACACATGCGGACTTATACAGTATTTTCGTCCCCTGGTGACTGGCTAACTTCATTTTTATTAGTACATAAAATTTTAAATAAAAACATATTACTCAGCTTGGTTGCCTCCCTCACTCCCCACACCTGGCTACTTCTAAACTTAAAATATACACTCAAAGGCCCAACACTGTTAATGAAAAAATACAAGCTCTATGGGTGACTCCAAAAAAGGAGTTCCCAAAACAGGTTCCAGAGTGACATTTCTGGAATATTGGCAGAACTTCTCATGGTGACTTCTTCAAAAGAGGTAACTCAAATTATTTAATATATATCATTAATATTATACATATAAACTGTATCTCTCATTACTAACACTATAGACTAACTATATTACACAAGGTACTAACATCAGCTAACCCTAGCCAGGCAAAGGCCCACAAGCTACTGTGTTCAGAGCTGATGTGGTGTGAGACTTACTTCCCAGCCCCGCCACCGAAGGACAGGCCAGCAGAGTTCATCCCCGCCAGGACGAAGTAGCCACTGACCACAGGGGACTCGCCCATGATGCACCTCATGTCCGGCGTGAAGGTCTCGGGGCAGTTCACGAGCTTCATGATCTCCAGTGTCTCCAATTCTGGCATCCGACGCAGGAGGGAACTCAACAGGGGCTCTGAGTGATAAAAACAAACCCATTACAGTCCTCAGCTTTAGGGAGTTTAGAAACTTGTTTCAAGCCCTTACACTTCTCAGAAAATCTCTTGGAAGAAATTTTTCTAAGAGTGAGTTGAGCCTTTCATCAAAAGAAGAAAGCCTGATGAAACTGCAGGACACCTGAAAAATGCTTGCCATAAAAACAGAAAAACATTCTGTAGAAAGGAAAGGCAGTGTAGGACAGCAAGTAATACGTGGGGGTGGAGACAGTAATCTCAAAGGACAGCAGGAATGGGAAGGCTCTTATATGGCATCTGAAGAACTTTAATGAAAAACAGTGTTTCTAGCCAGGTATGGTGGTGTAAACCCATAATCCCAGCCTGCTGAGAGGTTGAGGCAGGGAGATCCCAAGTTGGAACCCAGCCTGGGCAATTTAGCAACATCCTGTCTAAAAACAAAAAAAACAAAAAAAAAAAAAACCAAGCTGGGCGCACACCTATAATCCCAGCACTCGAGAGGCTAAGATAGGAGTATTGCTATGAGTTCGAGACCAGCCTGGGATACAAAGTGAGTTAAGGCCAGCCTGAACTGCATAGTGAAACCCTGTCTCAAAAAAGGCAATCAATCAAACAAACAATAGAAAAGGGTCAAAGATGTAGCTGTGTGAAGGCCCTCAGTTCAATCTCCAGTATAAAACAAAAAGAAGCTGGGCATGGTGGTGCATGCCTGTAATCCCAGCACTCAGGAGGCTGAGGCAGGAGGATCACTGTGAACTCGAGACCAGCCTGGGTTACAAAGTGAGTTCAAGGCCAATCTAAACTGCATAGTGAGACCCTGTCTCAAAACAGACAAAAAAAAAAAAAAAAAAAAAAAAAAAAAAAAAAGATGAACTATTTTTGAAAAATATAACATCTTAACAAATAAAAGGCATTATTTTTGTTTTGAGACAGGATATCACTATGTAATTCAGGCTGGCCTTGAACTCACCATGCCCAGCTGACACTGATTATTGTTATCGTCTACTTCACATACCAAAGTGATCCCAGTCTTCCTGTAGATTCTGAATTTCCAGCTGGTTCTTGCCCTCAGTAAAAATAGGTTTCGGGTTCTTCTCAAAGCCCCCAGACAAGATGCCACCCTGCCAGTTCCGAATATAAATTCTTCCATCAGGGTCCACGACAGCTGAGGACAAGAAATGGCAAGGGAGTGGAGGTACAAGAGAAAAACAAGGATTTAGCGGCAACCAGCTTTCTAAATGGTCAGAAACAAAACATAACACCCGCAACAGTTTTACTAACGAAATGACATTAAATCCGTGCGGGCATCTATTAGCTTTCACACACCTTTGGAGGTCTGGGGAGGATCATCCCACGCAGGTTTACAGAGGACATGGGTTCTCCGACTGTCTCTGCCCTTATGAGGAACTAGACACTTTGCCAAGCCCTCACTCCTGTACTACCGGACTGCCACTGTGCCAAGCGAGTCTCACGGGCAGGGGGACTGCAGAGCCCCTCAGAGATCTAAGACCCTCCACATGACATCATAACCCTCTTCTCCAGCACTTTGAGCCACTCAACTGCCCCAGTTTATGATTTACCTCCAACGTTTCTACATCTGATAGCATTCCAATTAAAAACTCAAAGTTACATCCCAAATTGTCTCAGTGACTTGTTTGGAATTAAAATTAAGCTGGCAAAAAACAAAAGCAAAAAATTGCTTAGTGGCATACCCGCGTGGGCCATCCTTTCACAGTGTTATCAGAGGAAAGTTAGAACTGGGTCCACCTCCCTGTAACATGCTCCAGAAGACTTTTAGGTATGATCTGTCCTTAGCTGAAAGTCTTCCTTTTCAGAGGACAGGACACTAGCAAGGAGATAGGATTGTAAAAAAGTACAAGTCCTCACTTGGTGTGTTGTTCTGCAGAGGGGTCTCCAAGGGGCGAGTCAGAAGGTAGAAGTGTTCGCAGGCATGTAACGGGATACTAACCGGCTCCTCGTTGGACAGACCCAGCTCGTATGCCCACTACAAATGGACAGGTTGATTGTGGGTGGGAAGAGGAACAGAAACACAAATGAGCAAGTCCAGCCTCTTGAAAAGAGATTAATTTCAAGCGGCTTCTGTGTGCTCTTGCTACAGTGGCAGCGTGGAAAGCCAAGATTTAGCCTGCTTTACTTAGTTCAAGTATTTGGGTGGGGAGCAACACTATACTTTTTAAAACCTAAAAATGATTTTAATCAAAGGAAGACAGACAAGACAAGCCAGTCAAAGGAGACCCTTTTAATAAATCACCTGTTCTCAACTATAAGCCCCAAACACCAATCACTAAATGAACTCCACATAGCAAAAACTACTTTTTAGGTCACCTTAAGACGACAGAGTGGAGGGAAGGGACCAGTCTGCCCCAGAAGTTGAAGAAGTTTAGTATACTAGAAACAGAAACCATGGTCCGGAATAAATAAAATAACCTAGTATGCTATCTGCGAGGTTTAGAATGAACCATAAAACCACAGAAAGACTCGAAAGGTCAGAAGTGGTGAAGAGGCTGAGACAGGAGGATCAAAGTTTGAGGCCATGGGGACAGAGCTCAGTGCTCCCTGGGTTCGATCCTCAGTACTGAAGATAAAAAAAATTTAAAAAACACACCTCTACACCAAAAAAATCCAAGTTAAATAAGAAAACAAACAACCCAGTATTGCTGTTAACCTACCTGACCAGCACAGTTGACAAAATACTGGCATTCAATCTGTCCTTTATCTGTCTCCACACCAGTCACTTGACCTTTTTTGACCATTACATGAAGAACACTTGTTCGGTCATAAATCTGAACACCTGTCCCAAGGTAAGGAGAGTTGGTACATCATCTGCTGTCCAAATTAAGACATCCACAGCACAGTCTCTACCCAAAGAAACTCTGAAACAGGTCAGTGTTTTAGTCCCCAAAACAAAAGCCCCCAGGAATTATGTCCTGACATGGTGTAAATACATATTGGCCAAGACTGAAAATATCATGTTAAGAACAGACTTGATGGACAACCCACTCAGGCCCCCTTCTGTCTCTCTCTTGGACAGAAGCTTTCTTTCCTTCAATAAATATATTCTGCTCTTAAAAAAGTAAAATAAAATAAAAAGAACAGACTTGAATAAACAGTAAATTCTGAGGGCCCTCAAATACAGAACAGGGGAAAGAGAGTCCAAATAGGTGTCCTTAAACCTAATTTGTCCACATCATGAATCAGCTTATCCACATCAACTTTTTAGTGACCCCCTGGCCACTAGTAAGTCTCCCCTCATTTATTCCAACTCTGGGGCACAATTTCCAGGTATGTTTTAACCTTGGAGCATCTCTAGCCCAGCAGATGGGCGATTCCCCTAAATCTGAGATGCATTTTTTTTTTTTTTTTTTTTTTCCTGGAGACAGGGTCTCACCATGCAGTTCAGGCTGGCCTTGAGCTCACTTTGTAGCCCAGGCTGGTCTCGAACTCACAACGATCCTCCTGCCTCAGCCTCCTGAGTGCTGGGATTACAGGCATGCGCCACCACGCCCGTCTGAGATGCATTAATTAGCATAAAAGTAGTCCCTGAAAAATGTGGTCATAAGGAAAAATGATTAACAGATACTATATTTAAAAACTGTGAGCTCCAGTACGCAAAAACAGGAGGCTGAATACCCCAATGAAGATACTTTCTTCAACTTATGTTGGTGTCACTGTGTACTATAGACATTTTCTTAAATAACCTCTTCCTTCCAAATTCGTTAGGAAAACGCAAAAGCCCGCTCACCATTCTGGGAGGCAGCACTTGCCAGGGCCAGAGCCACGTCGGCGGAGGACACCACCGCATCCTCAGGAACGTGCATGGCCCCCACCAGGTCGTGCATGTTGAGGAAAGGGTGCAGTTCGGCCACTTTCTTGGGGGAGATGATCTCAGACGGGATCCCTATAACACTGCCACAGAACACAAGGGAACAATGACATGCATGGGCCCTTTGGCAGAAGTCACTTTGGTGAAGTCAGGACAGGCCATCTAGCCTCTTACGTACTTCAGTCTTGAGTTGATACGCTTCAGGGAGATCAGCCGGTCTTGCGTTTGGGCCAGAAAAACTGAGCCTGTCCTTACATAACCTGAAAGAAGAATCAGAGAATTGAGACCACATGAAGGTACACTGGGATCCCCTTGATTACAGGCTGGACCTGTTGTGAATCCCAGCCACGTGAGTCAGCTTCCTCCGAGCGTCTAAGTGAAAATCCGCACCAGATGCATGAACACTCTCAGCTTTTGATACACGACCACTGTTACACTTAGGTCAGTGACAATCCTAAAATGTAATGGGTCCTAGTTCTTATAAAGAAAACGAACCCATCAGATAGCTTAAACAGTTAGGATAATTTAAGTAATTTCTTAATTTCTCGTGAAATCTGCAGATAAATATGCCCTTCACTGACATGATGACAAGGTCCCAGTTTGAAGGAACTGAATCTTAGAGCCTGGTTTTTAGAAACAGTAGATCTACCAGCCTCAGCCCGTGACCTGTGCTAACCACACTGAATTTTACTTTAAGACAGGCAAAGCGTTCAGCAGCTGTTTTCTTTCCTATCAACGATTACAGAGGTAATTACCACTGCCTAAGAATCTATACAATACACTAAGTCTCTGACTTATGAACAAGTTCCGTTCCGGGAGAACATTTGTCAGTCAGATTCCTTTGTAAGTCCAACACAGTGAGTCCTTCACACCCTTGACACAAATATACAATGTATACTGCTGTGCGCTTCCTAGCAGTCACATCACCACAGCTTTTCCTCTGGCTTCCAGACATCCTGGGCTCCGACTGAGCACTGTGCTATTGCACTGTACAGTAAGCACATAGCAGCGCAGCGGTGACAACGTCTGGCAGACACATGGGCTCCTTCCATGATCCGGTCACATCTACAAATGTTTGTAATGCAAGGTCTGTTTGTCTCTGTGAAAGTTTACAACTCGAATATTTGTAAGTCAAGGCCTTACTGTACACTATATCGCTAAACAACACATTACCTAAATCACAATCCATATTTAGACTTCATTGATTGTCCTAGTGACGTCCTTTAGTGTTTTTCTGGCTTCAGCCCAGGATCCAGGGTATGAGCAGGCACACACTTAGTTGTCTTTTCACTTTAATCTTCAGCGTGAAACAATTCATTTCTTTTTGTCTTTGTTGACCTTCCCCCACCTCCCCACCCCTACCCCTTCACCCCCCACCCCCCACCCGCGTCCATACTAGGGACTAAACCCAGGGCCTCTGCACTCAAGTATATTCCCCAAGCCTTTTAAAATTTTTGAGACAGGGACTCACTAAGTCACTAAGCTGCCTAGGCTAGGCTCAAACTTGTGGTCCTTTTGCCTCAGCCTGCCAGACTTGTGTGTTTACAGGCCTGTGCCACCAGACTCAGTTTGTGTTGTTTTGTTTTGTTGAGATAGCATCTTGCTACGTAGTTCAGCCAGGCCTTGGCTTTGAACTTACTTTGTAGCCCAAACTGGTCTCAAACTCATGGCAATCCTCCTGCCTCAGCCTTCCAAGTGCTGTGATTACAGGCATGTGCCACCACACCGGGCTATTGTGCATCTTTTTTTTTTTTAACCCATTTTAATTTTTTATTTGCATTTTTGAGACAGGGTCTCACTGTGTAGCCCAAGCTGGCTTGGAACTGGTGATCCGCCTGCCTCAGCCTCTGGAGTGCTGATGTTACAGGTACACACCATCATGCCTGGCTAATTTTATTTTTTGTAGTGCTGAGAATCAAATGACAGAGGATCAAATGACAGCCCAGTGTATTCTAGGAAAATGCTCTATTATAAACCACACCCCGGGGCTGGGGATTTAGCTCAGTGGCACAGCGCCTGCCCGGCAAGCGCAAGGTCATGAGTTTGATTCCTGGTACCAGAAGAAAAACAAAAAAAAAAACAAAACAAAATAAACCACACCCCAACAGCCCCCCACACACACCTTGATACCTCCCACTTAACCCTTTTACATAGTCCCTCATCTTGATCCCCTTTCTAAGGTAACTGTTCCATGACTCCAGCCAGATCCTCTCCCAGCCCCTTGCCGCATCCCCTCCCACCTGTTCACCTCCCTAGCCATCTCTCTCCTCATTGTGAGGCTCTCACAGGCAGGCATTCAAACAGCTGCACCACTAACATATGGTCCCAACAGAACTGACCCCCGAGGAGGCTGAGCTCATGTTCAGTTCTAGTTCTGACGGCTGAGCAGCACTGGCCAGGCTGTAGCCACTTCATGGGACTGCTGTAAAAAGTGTCATCACATGTGGGTGGCTGAACACAACAAAAACATCAGTTCATAAGTCTGAAATCAAGGTGTTCACCCACACGGTTGGTTCCTTCTTACGAATACAGAGGATGAATCCACCTTGTACCCTCCTGCTAGCTTCTGGTGGTGGCTGTGGGCAATCCTTCCACATTGTGACTTCATCTTAACAAGATTACATTTGCAGACCCTGACAGCCAAGATATGGGAATCACCAAGCACCTCTTCCAAGTCATACAGGGTCAGAGCCGTGATTCAATCAGGCAGCCTGGCTCAGCAACTGAGTTTAGCACAACCTCCAGGTTTCCCACTCTGATTCCAACAGGGTGAGCATGCTGCCCTTAAGCACGTGCCCTGTCACGTTGCGGATGATGGAGCGGCTCGTGTCATCCATGAATTCCATGTGTACCTGTGTGCACTGTCCCTGCGAGCCGGTCCTGCCCAGCACACTGACAATTTTAGCCAGCTTGATGGGCTGCATACAACTTGTATCCATGATGGCAACTGAAAATGGTCCGGCGAAGATTGTGCACTTTAAAATGGTAATACTTGCTTGAAATGATTATGATGGAGGTTAGACGGTGTAGCTTACAGTTCTCCCATCTTCCCAATGTAGTTTTTGTTTATCAATATGGACTTCTGGGTTCCTATTGTGTACACTGTGATAATCCACTGCTCTCATCTATTTTCTCGCTCAAATGATCCCAGACTTGCCCACCGGGAGTGCCCTCCAGCCGGCTCCTCTGAACCTCTGACACGGCCCCATCACTTCCTTCCTTGCTGGCACAGCAAGATGTTCCAGGCTCATTACTCCATCTTTCTTCACCCTGGCCAGGAACCAGTCACTTCTTTAAGCAGCTTCCGCTTTATCCTCTCTGTGTTTCTATTTTGCAAAAAGAAGTGGACATTGATTGTGTAGGGGGCGAAGGTTCTGGTGCTGGGGATCAAACCCCACTAAACACACCCTAACTCCTCTTTGTGTATTTTCTTATTTTTTCCTGATTTAACGGTATATCACAGAAATCACTCCACAGCAGTTCAGAGACAGCCTCATTCTTTTTTCACCTACCTAGTAGTCTTGTGTGTAACGTACCATTTTATGAACTAACCTGCATTCAATTTTGTAGCTTACGTGTACAATTAAATGTTATAATAGTCTGTATTTATACTTTTGTACAAAACATTAGGTAAAAAAATGAGATCTATAACATGCTTAATACATTTCAGTTTTTAAAAAATGAACCTATATAAGATACATAAAAAAAGAAGCCAAGCCCAGTGCAGTGGCACACACCTGTAATTCCAGCACTCAGGAGGCTGAGGCAGGAGGATTGCTGTGAGTTTGAGACCAGCCTGGGTTACAAAGTGAGCTCAAGTCCCACCTGAACTACGTAACGGGACCCTGTCTCAAAAAAATTTTTTTTGGTTTGGACTGGGAATGTAATTCAGTTCAAAGGCCCTCCATTCAATCATCAGTACCACACACACAAAAAAAGGCGGTAACAATTCTCATGGTAGTGCACAGGTACACAGCGCTAGTTAACAGAGAACAAGAACGCTCTGTCACTGAAGCCCCCAGGCTCTCACTGTGTCATGGTCAGAGGATGAGGGAGACAAATACGGACAATACCTTTACATTCCCTTGCCAGACTTCCTAACAGCTCCTCATCCCCACCCCGCACTTGTCCCACAAGCGTCAAAAACAATCAGGACAAATCAAGGGTTCTAGGCTGTGACCCAGAACTAAGACCAGGCTAGTTAGTCTATCTCAGAAGAAGGCTATGACCCAGACCCCTTGGAAATGGAGCCAAGTGAGTAATGCCAAGCTCAGTAAAACACCAATTATGAACCAGTAGACAGGAAGTCAGCTGTACTACCTCTAGGCCATTTTGTGGACTCTCTTCTAGCTCAAAGCCTGGCTGATATAATAATTCAAGCACCCTGTTGCCATCAAACTCAATCTAACCAAAAGGGACTATTTCCCTCCTGCCCAGGCTACAGCAGGCATCTTCCCCAAACACTCAACCCAGCAGAACCACTTTACTAAATTCCCTCCAGAGCTCTTGTCTCAAGAGGAAGTGAAACCACGTTCAATGACACCGCAGGGCATCCTCTGATGCCACCACCAGAGGGCAGGGAGCAGGGGCAGGCAAGGCAAAGTGGTTTCATCAACCAAGAGAGTGGGTGGGCATGGCTCTGGCTTCTGGCTAATCCACCACCTTGCAACAAACTGACAGACCCTCTTTCCCCTTATGATCAAATGGAATCACACTACTGATTAGCATTCCTGTTCCTGAAATAGTTCCTACTTAGCCCAGTGCCATGGATGTATGTACGTACCAGGAATTGAACTCAGGACTTTGTGCTTGCCAGGCAGGCACTTATGCTGCTGGGCTATATTCCTGGCCCTATTTTTGCCTTTTTTGAGACAAGGTCTCTCTATGCAGTTCAGGCTGGCCTCGAGCTCACCTTGTAGCCCAGGCTGGCCATGAACTTGAAATGATCCTCCTGCTTCAGTCTCCCGAGTGCTGGGATTACAGGCATGTGTCACCATGCCCAGTTTCCCAGTGCTATTTACCTTATAGTAATTCTCTTTGCCTTTCCCTTCTAATTACATAAATAACAAGAAACATATGTCTGTGTTTTATAATGGTAATCAGAACTTTAGTGGGTTAAACTATGACATAACTGTCAAATACCTGAACTTAAGTTCTCCTCTTTGTTTAGGAACTAACTGATGCTATTTTCTACACTTGTTTTTGTTTTTTCGTGGATTTTTTTTTTTTTTTTTTTTATACCGGGAATCGAACTCATAACCTCACGCTTGCCAAGCAGGCACTTATGCTGCTGAGCTGTATCCTCGGCCATCTTCTATACTTAAATGACTAAAATATGTAGGAAATGGCCCAGGAATTATAGGAGTTGGAGGCTCTAGGTTCAACCCCCAGAACCAAGGGAAAAAAAAAGAATTATAGGACCTAAAAATGATCTGGGACACTAATTAGGTCCCCTCTTTTTTTTTTTTTTTTGTACCAGGACTTGAACTCAGGACCTTGTGCTCTCCACATGGGCACTGTTTCACGAGCTACATCCCCAACCTGGATCCCCTCATTTTACAGACAAGGAAACTGAAGACAGCTCAGCAACCTATGTGACTTGTCCATGGTAAGACCCTGGCTGGCAGCAGAGTCTGAACTAAAACCCAGGTCTCAAGGACCAAACCACAGGCAAACCCAGTGTAAGACTAGATGTCGTAAATACTGAGCTTGGGGTCAGTAAACAGCACATCACCTGCTTACCTGTTTGGATCCCTGTTTCTTGCTCTAGTTGTTGGTAGAGTTTGTTTGAATAGTCTGCCATCTTCTGCTCGATGGTCAAGTGCCTGGCAGTGCTCAAGATGCCAGCACAGAACCTGGTAGAGCCAGCAGCCAGCCTAGAGGATGGGTGCAAAATGCGATTAGGTATACCCAGATATCTGTGAATACAAGTTCAAGGGTCCTCATTACAATATTATCTGTAACATCAAAAGATGGAAACAGGCCTAGGGATACAATTCACTTGCTTAGCATCCATGAAGCCTGGGTTCAATCCCCGGAACCACACCCAAAAGAAAGGGAGAGAAAGTAGGAGGGAGGAAAAAAGAAAACAAGACAAAGAAAGAAAAAGACAGAAAGAAACTTAAATGTACACTGAGGTGGGGTTGATAAAATTTTGGAGATTATGTACACAATGGAATACTATTCAGAAAAAAAGAGAGCAAGGGAGCTTCTTCTACACCAACAGGGGATACTCATAATGAAAAAAGGAAAGCGAAGAACAGTGTTTAAGGTCTGTTACAGTTCATATAAAAGAGAGGAAAATAAATGAATACCCATATACAAAGACACATGCCAACCCATAAACATCTGCTTATTCTGTTTACATAGGGAATGTACCTGGAACTTAACTTGCCTCTAGGGTAGGAAACTTGGAAGTCAGAGGTCAGGATGGCAGGGAGATTTTTTTCCCTCTACACTCTACATATTTTCAATTCCGAACCATATAAATGTATTGCCTACCCAAAAACAAAATCTAAACTGAAAAAATGTTCTCCAGTTTGTGGTAGGCAATAGAACACAGAAAGCCTCAGTAATGCTTGAGCCCAAACACCTAGCTGTGCAAAGCATTTACACATCAGGTTAGGGGGTGAGTGGTGAGCAGGTCTTTTCTTCCAAATTACTTAGCCCTCAGCGAGCGACCACCTGTGTTGGTGCTATTGGAGTTTAATGAGTTTATTCTTAAAAGTTCTGCTTCCTGTGTCAGATTATCAGATCCCTAAAGAAAGACACATTTCCTGGGGGGCAGTGGCACAATCCTGTAATCCCAGCTACACAGGAGGGTGAGACAGGAGGACAGCAAATCTAAGGCTGGCCTGGACAAATACTGTTTAAAATTCTACACAAAAAAGGGTGCTGGGAGGCTCAGAGTGGAGGTGCACGCCTGTAATCTCAGCACTCGCGACGCTGAGGCAGGAGGATCATTGCAAGTTTGAGGCCAGCATGGGCTACAAAGTGAGCTCAAGGCCAGCCTGAACTGTACAGTAAGACCCTCTCTCACAAAGACAAGAAAAAAAAAATGCAGCTACTGGGGATATAGCTCAGGAGTAGAGTCCTTGGCAAGCATGCATAAGGCTCTGGGTTCAATCCCTAGTACTAAGAGGAAAAAAAAAAAAAAAGACAAACTAGGCATGGGCACACCACCTGTAATCCCAGCACTCAAAGGGCTAAGCAGGGGGACTGAGTTTGAGGCCAGCCTAGGTTATCCAGAGAGGTCAAGGCCAGCCTTTATTACATGGCAACGCTTCTATCATCTGACTAATGGGTGGCCACAATGCAGAGCTGTACCTGGAAAGGGAGCTTGTCTCTCTCAGGCCAGCACCTGTTTATCAGCCCTGACAGTGGCTCTCAGCCTGGGGTAGACCTTAGAGCCCCTTGGGAAGCTCCTGAACATACTGATGCTGGACCTCACCGCCACAGATTCTGGTTTGTTCTGGGAATATGAATGCGTTCCAAGCTCCCCAGGTGACTCTAATGTGCAGTTAACATTCCGAACCACCCTACAAGGGAGAGCAGTGGTGACAGAGAAGAGGGACAATGACTGGGTTGCTTTTTAAAAAAAAAATTTTATTGTAACAAAAAAGATCCAAGAAACAAACAAACAAAAAATCCAAAAAACAAAATTCCAAAACAATATGATAGGAGGGTAACAATGGTTAATACTTTGCATATCTTAGTTATCTTAGTTACTCAGAGTACAAGATATCAGTATTTAATTGTCCAAACAATATTAGCACAGACCTACCTTTTCAGTGAACTGAGAGAAATTAGTAGTGTAACTATTTTAACTATCTTTTGTTTATTTATTTATTTATTTATTTGTTCTTTTGCTTTTTCCATTCCTTCTTTCTTCCATTCACCACATCTGACTCAGTCTTTCTCTTACTTTGTCAAATCCTTTTTTTTTTTT